GTCTGTCAATGGATCAGATTTTGACTGATTCAAATTTGAATCGGATTTTAAAAATCATATCTGAATCCGATCTGATTATCCGATAAATTTTATTTTCATGGTATATATATGAATCCGTTAACAATCCGAAATTCAATCTGATCTAAATATATATCTGAATCTGTTAACAATCTGAAATTCAATCTGATCAGAATAACTTAATTTAACTAATTATATTTAAATTTCTTCAAATAATCGCCTAATTTCTTTAATATTTAGATAAAAAAATATACATATTTTGAATCGAATTATAATCAGATTGAATATTACTATATCCAAATACGAATCCATCATATATTATATTGTGAATTCGGATTCGAGTTCGAATTATCTATAAAAAAATATCAATTTATACCGGCTAATCAAATTAAGAGTTCAAATTAAAATTCAATCTATTGACGGCCCTACTAAGGCGCGGACGCTAGGATTTAAACTCCATAATCATAAAAGTGTAAGAAATGTGTGTTGGTAATATCACTGAGAAAACTCGGCTACAAGAATACAAAAGTTGTGTGACGAAAACCAGCATCAGAACCGGTGTTAACTAAGGATTTTATGCTGATTGATGATCGATGAAGCAAATCCCAAGAATATTTTCACATATCTGACAATTAATCTCTCGATAATGGAGATAAATATCTACCAGATCTCAGTGATAGGTGAGAGAGTCTTGTTCTTGTGTATTGGGTAGAATCTTTTTTTTTTTAAATTTTAATCAGGCTCAATCACTCAATACTTTTACTTTGCTTTCTCTTTTCATGCCCATTTGAGAGTTGGTCTTTGATGCAACACCGTATTGAGCTTGTTTGGAGTTGGCTTTCCTGGTAAAAAATTACTGTTTGAAAAATTTCTCAAAAAGTCAAGATTTTAAAAAGTCTCATAAAATCGTTTGAAGTCTTCTTTAAAAAATCAAAAAAGTTTGTTCGGAGTAATTTTCTAAATTTTTTGTGTCAAAATAAAAAAAATAATTATATGTATGTATAGACTATACATAATAGTTCTCAAAATTTGAATTTGAATATAAATTTTTTTATGAATATAATAAACTAAAAAGTTATGTGGGATTCGCACAAAACTCCAAAAAACCAGAAGAATGGCTTATAAATTCAATTTCTTGAATCAGCATAAATAATTTTTTTTTGGTTCAAAAAACTGCTATGCTAGTAAAAAAGGAAAAATCTAAACGGATCTAACTTATTTTATTCAAAAATTCTTAAACGCTACCTATTTAAACTAGTTTTAAACAAACACATTGTTGTGTCAATATTATGATTTAAAAGTCATGAAATTGAATTGCAAAAACAATACATACACAATAAGATTATATATATCTAACCTTTTCCTAAATCCCAAAAAGATAGGAAACTCAGAACACTGGGTTGTCTTTTTTATTGTTTTTACCTCGTTTATTTACATGATGTTTCTTGGGCAATGTTTTTTTTTTTTTTGTTTCTTGGGCAATGGTAGGCATGACAGAAATACCATACTATTTTCACTTCACTTGACTTATTTCTTCTTCTTGGTTTCTATGTCTATCTTTGTCTTTTTGTCAAAGAAGGGGGAATTGCATTTTGTACCCTAAAATATTTAAAAATTTGTAATTTATATCTTTAAAGATTAAATTTTTTATATTATACCTCAATGTATTAAAATTATTGTAATATGACCCGTCGTTAGGTTTCATTGCTCATTTACTCAAACATGACTCCATTAACATAAACAAAATGAGCAACAAAAGCTAGCGATAAGACAATATTATAATATTTTTAATACATTGAAGATGTAATGTAAAAAATATAATATTTAAGGGTACAAAATAATTTTTTAAAAAAATATTTTAGAATGCAAAATGCAATTCATCCAAAGTTAAATTTATGGCGGCAATGGTGCCCTAAAGTTATGCACTAAAGTTAAATGTCCAAAATCTATTAGGCTCCCGCCACTTGAAGTCTGGAGAGAATAAGATGTATGCAGTCTTATTCCTATTACATGTAAAAAAAAATTATTTTCACAACTCAAACTTTTGGCACTCCAAATTACAATAGAATAATTTTACAATACTTTCCGAAAGAAAAATAATTTAACGAGGTTTTATTTATGAAATTGAAAATGACATATTTTCTTTGCCAAATATACCCAACTGGAATTATTTTTTATTATGTCATTATCAGATGCTAACAAACCAATAATATTGATGCCACAAAAAGAAAAATACTAACAATAATTAATGCACAACAAATGTCTAAACTACAAGTAACAAATCAGCTGTCACCAAACAGTGACCTATTGTTTTAATTTCACCAAAAAAGAATGATGATTAAGATAAAGAGATATTCTTAGCTTATTGAGATTGTGATTTGCAACTTTACTTTTTTTTGTGGGTGTGGGTGTGGGTGTGGGTGTGGGTGTGGGTGTGGGTGTGGGTGTGGGTGGGGGGAGGCAAATAAGCCGAATTTCTAAAGTTTTCAGTTCTTTACGCAAAATAACCAAATACGAGTTTAATCTTAATGGTTTCAATTCATAACTTACTTAATAAATAGTTTGAGTATAGACGGTGTCAATTTTAACAATTTAATTAAAGCTCTTTATACCTTTCAACACATGGGAGCCACTTTCCATTATATAGTGCGTCTCCGATAAACTTTTTATTCTATTCAATTCTCTATTTTATAGAATCTGTCACTAAAAATCAATCCTCAATGGGTTCTCTTTTGTAAAAGTAAAATTGAAGAGTCAAATCCACTCTCTATTTCATCATTATTGATGAAAAATGTGATACATGTACCTTTTTATTAAATTTATTTAACATAAATATTATTTTTCTATTAAAATAGAAAATTGTATTAGAGTTGTATATAAAATTTCACTCTTTTTTTTATTTTAAATTTTATAAAAAAGTTGCCTAAAATAAAGACTACTATTTGAGATGCTTTTAAGAGCCATGTTCCTACTTTGTATAGAATTAATATCTTGTGTCTGTCTGTTTTAGGGGCATTAAAACACCGTGAGGGTGACGCCTATTAGTTCATTTGCATCAAAATTTGCTGTTTGTGATTCTTCTATTGTTTGTATATATGGTGGGGATCCAAAATTAAGAAATTAGGCTTTTCAAAATGAGGTAAGATTAATTCTTACTTGTCAAAGTTTGGGGTTAATCGATACGAGTTACTCGAACTCCGTTCGGATAAGACTGTGCTAGAGCTCGATTCGTGTTTTAAATGAGATAAACTTGAACAATTTTTTTTCAAAAAAACTTGGCTTAAGCTTGTAAAATTCGACTCGTTTATATGTAAAATAGTCGAACTATTATGACTTGGCTTGGGTTTGGCTCAAGCTCAGGCTCGATTCAAGTTCTAAACAAGCAAAACTTGAATTATTTTTTAGATTCGTTTAGAAAAACGAGCTCAACTAGCTCGGACTTAAGCTCACAAAGTTTGGCTAGATTAACATTCCTAGTCAATGCCAACTATAAATGGTATGACGTCCAATAGTTTTTTTTTTTTTTTTACAATGGCCTGAAATGTTCGAGTCAACTTGCGCATACCTCGACTAATCTCCTATCCGATTTAGTCAAAGACAGGTCATTTATGTTAGAACTAAGATATTTATGATGGGTAAATCTCTCATGACCTGACCTTAAAAGATTATTATGGTCAGGTCATGAGAGATTTACCCATCATAAATATCTTAGTTCTAACATAAATGACCTTGTTACCACTTTAACTATTCATTGGAATTCACTTCCATTAGTTTGTTGTGTCAAAATTGGCTGTTTGAAATTCTTCTATCTAAGAATAGTGTAACCTAGAGTTCATAAATTAAATTTTTTAGAATAAGATAAGACTATTTATTATTTATCTCTTCCGAATCCAATTACAAATGAGAATTATGTGCACATGTTAACAGAAATCACACTTTGCACCTCAAAAAATTTAAGGATTTTTAACTTATCATCTTCAAAGCTTAAATTTTTTACATTACACCTTCAACATATTAAAAATATTGCAATGCGACCGTTTTGCAAACTTTCGTTGTTTATTCTCAAAAACCACCCAATTGACGTTGAGAGAACGAGCATTGAAAATTAACGAAAAAGACTACATTACAAAACTTATTGATGGTATAATGTGCGAAATTTAATCTTTGAGGGTACAATGTAAGAATTCTTAAATCTCATGGGATATAAAAAATATAGGGCCTGTTTGGTTTGCATTTTAAAAAATAGTATCTGAAAATAATTTTTGAGAAGAGTTTTAAGAAAGTGGTTTTGATATTTTTTGAGATAAAAAAATTGTTTGGTTAGATGATTTCAAAAACAATTTTACAATACAGAAAATAGTAAAACTTGTTTGAACAGCCTAAATATATATTTAAACAGTAATTCAAACATTAATAAAAGAATATAAAAAAGTTATTTTTATATTGACAATTTCATATATATATATATATATATATAAAAACATTCAAAATTGTTCTTCTTGTTTCCAAAATTTTTAAAGAAAACTCTGAAAATAAACTACACTTGTTTTCTGTTTCTTTGACTCAAATCTCATTTTTTTTCCTTAAATTTAGAGAACAAAAATGCTAAACAAATAGGTTTTAAGTGTTTTTTAAAATTTTGAGAATAAAAAATAGTTTCCGAAAACTAAACCAAACATGGTTATAATTTGTCGCACCTTTTATCTTGATAGTGGCAACTAAATATGCAAGTGGCAAAAAAATTGATAATAACTAATAATAAATGGACTTAGTTTAATAAGTGTGACAATTTTAAGGCATTCATGCCTCTCTGTATTTCCGGTGGGTTGTTGAATCTGCCTTCAATGCTATCTTTCTTCACATATAATTAACCACACATCACTCTTTTCAACCATATCTTCCAAGAAAGATTAAATTTTATACAAAAGTATGTGAAAATGATAGAAAATTAGGAAACTTGAGGGCTCACACTCAAATTTATTCTTCAATCTGAAAAAGTCTAAGACCTCTCTCTCTCTCTCTCTCTCTGGCTGTCTGGATATGCATAAATAGGACACCTCCTACTGATTTGCATCACACTTCAACGTTAGAAACCAAAACAGAGCAATCTCTCTCTCTCTCTCTCTTCGGTGTCCAAAGTGTTGTTGAATTGTAATAAACACTGATGGCCGAGATAGGAGGAGGAGCTAATGGTAACAGCCATGGAGTGACTTTAAATATAAAAGATGGTGAAATGAATTACAACACTCCTCGCTCAGCATCAAAATCCAATGAAGACTACTCTTCAGGCTGCTTTGTCACTCTACCCTTTATGCAAAAGGTGATTCTTCTTCTGATTCTGTCCTTAAGTGTATGCAGATATATATATACACACACACACATAATCGCTTTTGTTGCTAAGGATCTTATAGAACAAAATTCTAGCCATAAACCCCAACCTTTATGGATTTATTCTCAGTTCCCAGAACTAAATCCAGGCCTACATGAACTTTTTTCTTATATTCCACTGACCAAGCATTTCAATCTCTCTCTCTCTCTCTCTCTCCCATGGTTTCTTTACCATCCAAACTTTTTCTTTCTGAAACACGATTGGACCCCATCTCTTAAGTTTGGAGATATCTCCAAAGTTAATACCACTCTCTGACATAAATGTCCATCTATCCAATTTTCCCAGAAAATAAACTATCTTGCTTACCCACATATCCAATTCCTTGAAAATTGATTAATTATGAAATACAAATAGTTAATTTTCAATTTTTCCTTTTTTTTGGTGGCAGTTGATTGCAGAGGTGTTGGGGACATACTTCCTAATATTTGCTGGTTGTGCTGCTGTGGTGGTGAATTTGGACAAGGACAAGGTTGTGACTCTACCAGGAATATCAATAGTCTGGGGACTGGTTGTGATGGTCATGGTTTACTCTGTTGGACATATCTCTGGTGCCCATTTTAACCCTGCTGTTACCATTGCTTTTGCCACCTGCAAGAGGTTTCCATGGAAACAGGTAAAACTAACATCAACCAACTTTGTGGGGTTTTTCTATTCATAAGTCAAATCTTGTGATTAATGCACTTTATTCCTTGATACCCTTTTGTCCAAAATGAGGTCACCACAAAGAAACTTCCCTCAATTTCATAAAAAAAAAATAAATAAATAATCGAGAACTATCTAATCATTTATTTTCTGGATTGGTAAGCATGATTTATTACATAAATTAGGAATGCACGCAATTTTCTACCGTCAAGTATAGTAAAAAATCATCTTTCTTGAAGAACTTCCCTTTTCACTTGTTTTTTAGTGGTTGTGAAATGCTTTCATAAATCAACTTGTTTTAGTCCAAAGCAAAATGTGCTTATTAGAAACAAACAAGGAGTTTGTGAGACATCTTGAGAGGCATTAATAGAACCCACACATTTGCTGATTCTTCTGTTTTTCAAGAGGGTAACAAGACTTCAACAGTATCATTCTATATGTAAAGGGAGAAAAAAAGGGAGAGACATTTCCATGAAATACCAGCGAGAATCGAACCCAGGTCGGGAGGAGAGACATTTCCTTTCTCCCATTTGTTAATTCTCCAATCTGTCTATATGTAAAAGAAGAGAAAATGGGAGAGACATTTCCACGAAACACCAGTGAAAATCGAACCCAAGTTGGGGAGAGAGACATTTACTTTCTCCCATTTGGTTAGTCTTCTCAACTGTTATAACCACCAAAACTATAGTGTTAGTTTTAGATTAGTTTGGTATTGTTAAAAACTCTCTTACATTTTCCAACCTACTTCAAGCATTAACTCTCTCTCTCTCTCTCTCTCTCCTGCAGGTACCAGCCTATATCTCAGCTCAAGTCCTCGGATCAACACTAGCAAGCGGAACCCTCCGACTAATATTCAACGGGAAGCATGATCATTTCGCCGGAACCCTACCGACGGGAACAGATGTGCAGTCTCTAGTAGTCGAGTTCATAATCACATTCTACCTCATGTTTGTCATTTCTGGTGTCGCCACAGATAACCGAGCTGTTAGTTTCTATTCCTACCATCTTCCTATTAGTTTATACTTCGCCAAGGTTGACTACTGGCCACAGGTTCAAATGGGTTTGGTTGATAAAGATTCATCAATTATCAAAAAAACATAAAAAAGTATCTATTACAAAAGACTTTCATCCCTAGAAATAAGCGATAGACAACATTACTAGAATAGATTCTAAAGAACCTGATTTTCGGACTTGACTTGCAATATTGATTCAACAATACCCTTGGTTTTTTTTTTTTTAACGACTTTATTCGCTTATAAGTATTCAACGACTCGGTACTTTGTCCATACAAAGTACAATGTTTCTTCTCCAACTTATAGGTCGATTTTTTTGTAACTCGACCTCATAGATCTGCAACCTATAGTGCAAGTGCTGTCATACTTGATATAGTATAGTAACTAGCTCTAATAATAATTAATATGAACAAATGAATAGAACTCATCATTCAAAACTGGCCTGCCAAAGAAAAGTGTCTAAAAGTTCACTTATTGCTAATATTGTTTCAAGTCAACCTCAAGAATACAAATATAAGTACGCAATTAATAGTTTTTGATTGGTTTGCTTGCCTAATCTGCCATCTGATTTTCCTATAGAACAAAAATGCTAGCTTATTCACTAATTGGTCTAATACTTGCCTAGAAATGCTGATTAAAAAAGGGTCAGGACAATGACTTTTTGGCAACCCTTTTTAATCTTATATGTACTAATCACAATCACATGGGGTCTTTATTTTAACAATAATGTTATTTCGATCTAATTTGATAATAAAATTTTCTGATTTAATCTATCAGTTGTGGGTCCCAATTAATACTCGGGTCTAATGTCAATCTAATAGTTATGAATGATTAAGTCAATAAATTATGTCTAAATAATATTATTCATGATTTAAACATCATCATCATCTCATAATTTCTCTTGTTTAAATTTTGTTTTTTAATTAATTATGCAGATCGGAGAACTTGCTGGTCTTGCTGTTGGATCTACCGTCTTACTCAACGTGATGTTTGCAGGGTATTAACTAATCTCTTTATTCTTTTATCTTATTGAATTTCCATTAAAGAACTGAAAAAGTGGTCATCTCTGACAGGGGACGGATCTAGGATTTGGGTTCAAGAGGGGGAAATTCTTCTGAATTAATCTTTAGGGAGCATTTAAGAAAATAGAAAAAAAAGGGTTTACAGGTGCAAATTTTTCATAACTTTGTACCGAATTAAGAAATTTTTGATTTTTTTAGGTGTATGGGCAATCAAACCCTTTAATTCCCTTGGTTCCATCATTGATTCAATCATTTCATAACTGATTCAAACCATACACGGTCTATTTAGAAAAAAATAATGACAATCAACCTAATTATGATTGTTATGATTCTAACGAATAGTTCTAGTTAGGATTGATAATTTCTAAACATTACCCGACCATCGGACCCTAAAATCCCATCGTAGTAGTCCTCAAATCCATCATTTTGATTGGACATACGAGCACCATTGCTAGTAATAAACCTTGTTAGCTTATGAATAATTTACATCTTTCTTTGACTTTGTACTCAAAGTAAGTGACTTTCTTGGGCAATGCAGGCCAATATCAGGGGCGTCAATGAATCCAGCAAGGAGTTTGGGCCCAGCAATTGTGGCAAGCAACTACAGAGGAATATGGATATACATGGTGGGACCCATTGCTGGGGCCATAGCTGGGGCCTGGGTCTACAACATCATCCGATTCACAGACAAGCCCTTAAGGGAAATCACTAAATCCGCATCTTTCCTCAAAAGCTCAGCTCGCAACGGCTCTAACTGACAGAAAGAAGGATGTTTTCTCTTTCTTCCATGTAATTTTGATATGAAAGCAACACATAAAAGAGAAATAAAAATAAGTTTTTAGTTTGGAAATTGTTAGTTTAAGCAATGAACCAGCGGACCGCTCCGTGCGATGCAAGAAATTATAAATCGTGTCTTTTTTAGCTTTTAATTATCTTTTTTCTCTTTTATTCTATCAATTGAAAATTTAGATAAATAAATATAAAAATATTTTTTGAATATATAAATTTTAAAAAATAACAACTAATTATCAAGGAATTGAGAGGTGGTTACAAATGAGAAATGGTAGAAGTTGCCGTGACAACAACCTCATATACTAAATTATTTTTTAAAACAGCCCTTTGGTCACAGCAGCTGTAAAGATACATTAGGTGTTATTTTTTTTTTTTTTCAAAAGTCAAGAGTGTTCGAATCACTTTACGCACACCTCGACTAATCCTCTACCCGGTTTAGTCAAAAATAAATCATTCATACTGAGATTAGTGTATTCATAAGAAATAAATTTCTTATGACCTGATCCAAAAAAAATTACAAAGATCGGAACTCATGACACAAAAGTGGAATATATTTTGTCCTAAAAGCAATTGTCAATCATTTCGGATGTCTATCTTTGGATGCAAATAATAAGACATTGACTTGATGCCAAACCGAGTGAATGGATTGCCGTATGGGGAGACCAAAAACGGATTCAACAGTTTCACATTCATACCCTAGTCCATTGTTCCACAAACAATACAAGAAATAAACGACAATTTCAATATAACTAAGCAAAATCAGAGAGAGAGAGAGAGTAATGTAAAAGAGCAGACCTTGAAAGCCAGGTCAAAAAGTTTCTCGGAGCATCGGACGAGCTGACATTGACTTGGTTCTCTCCAGCACAATTGTGAATTAGCTTAGAACCAAAAGATATGATTTTCATCCTTAAATGGATCAATCATCTCATAGTGAGAGAGCATCTTGATTTTTTTGGACAAAGGCATGCACATATAACACACAATAATTCACACACCAAAGCTACTCAAGCACACGTTGACCAGGAGAGGGACCCACATACCAATTTCTCTTAAAAGAGGAACTGAGGGAAGACCACTTATACTCTAGTCTTTAATACTGAGCAAGCGATGTGAGACGCACTTTTTTGTTTTTGGGTCCCTCTCCTGATCAGTCAGTGTGCTGGAGTAACTTTGATGTGTAGATTATTGTGTGTTATATGTGCATGTCTTTGTCCAAAAATAACAAAGTGTGTGCCCCATCGCTTGCTCAATACCAAAGATTGGAATATAAGTGACCTTCCCCCAGTTCCCCTTTTAAGAGGAATTGACACCTTGATTCAGTTAAAACCTTTCCAGTAGTTCAATCATTCAACTGCAGAATCAACCAAAGCAAAACAAATCAGAATCAGACAACACAAGGAAACTGAATTGTTAATGCCATGCTTGATGCTTCTTAATTCCATTGCTGTAATCAGAGAAAAATTGAACAACATAGTTGGCAAAGATGCCCACAAAACTTGTTGCTAGAATTTCCCACAGCCTCCTTACCCACTGATCACCCTTCTTTGTTGTAGAATCAATTCAAATCCAATTTCATATGTGTAATCAACTGAAACATATCGTGTTCTATTCCCTTACGAATTACAACCCAAGATGATTCATTGGCAAGCCAACCAAAAACAAGTAACTGATTAAGCAGTATACATATGCTGTCTTCTACTTACTTCAAAAAGTACATAACAATAATGATTACGATGAAATCTACACAAGGTTCGAAAAAACATTCTTAAAAATTGCTAAAAAAACATTACATAAGAAAATGGGCTATGGAAGTTGTGGTAGCATACCACATATGTGCAAAGGTGAGAATCTGCTCAGCAAGCCAAGAGAGGTCATTCTTTCATCATCCATAAATCTGGAAAACCCAATGCCCAAGCTACCTTTGAACTGGAGTACTACAGCCAGCAGAACCATACCTCAACCTTACCCTTGGCATTATGACAGGTTTGCAGCAGAGTAGAGTATAAAAAAGCTCCATTGTAAACACTGTCATGCTAATCCATATAAATATTGTCTTCTTCCAATCCCATAAAATCCTTTTCAGCAGAGGAAGTTCTGACTCAACATTGAGGGATGCAGCATATATCTCAGGGATACCAGCACCATGCTGAAATTCTGCTCTTTGTTCAATTATTACCCTTAAGCAGGCAGTGGGCTCATGACCTCTTAACTTAATCTTTACGCTCAATGTTTGGGACTCTGATGAATAGCCAGTAAGAAGAGGAGCGATCTTAAGGAAAGTCAACATAAGGCGGATCGGCTGGCTTTTGAATTGCAACATGCAAGGATGCCTTGAACTTGCAAGGACTTTACCATCAGTAGAGAGGAAGTCTATCCTGACCTTCAGAGCAAACCATTAAGTGATCAGTCACAAATTTTTCACCAGTTATTACAAACTAAAGATGACTAAGAAAATTTTAAAATATAAGGTTCAGCAGCCTTTGTAACCCATTCGGCACCAAGAAACTTATGTGAGAGAGAGTAGGAAATGGGGTTCTTGTAAACATGCATTATTCCCTACTAAAGCAACAAGCTCCAGAGGCCTTGTCATTGTAAGAACATGACCATAGCCTAGAATAAGCAATTACATGACACAATGGCTGCAGGTGTCCACATTGCCATAATGCATTCTGATTGAATGTCCACTAGATATTTTCCATCAGACACCACTCTTCTCGTTAGCAGAGTGGTGAACAGATGCTGGAAAAAGCTTCCAAAATTAAGGAAAAAGGAATGCCTCCTAAGCACTACTGTGACAGTGGCATAACCATTCATGAGAACAAATGCATCTGATATCCAGAATCAGTATATAAAGTACACTCTTTGCCCTATGCCTATGCAAAAATTCATGTTTCATATGTAATTTGAACATTGACACCCTCTACACATGTCAATATAAGTCAGCTTTTTCTCTAAATTTTGGAAAAGAACAATGTTCCAACTCACACGAAAAATCAACTTTCTACAAGGCAGCAAAGTATATAAGTGTTTGTGGATCAGGAATTTCTCAAGCAGTGATTGACTAAATTATAAAAATAAAAACATTATCAGCCAATAAGGGATGTTCTACTTGCCACGGAGGATCCGTCTTTATAAATTTTTTACTTGTGGTACATAAAAGCTTATCACAAATGCAACATATTAAGGCCACTGACTAATATCATCCTGGTAAAAAGAAAAATTCACAGCACTTTCACAAACAAATTTGATAAACTAAAATACATACCTGGAAGATCCCCAGATCTCTATTGTAGTCTGACTCCGGCAAAGTCATAGAAACAGAAACCTGCAATATATGATAAGGTGGTATCACCCGTGAACCCCCAATATTCCCAATTTCACTTTTTTCCCCACAATTCTCACCACAAGAAACACCAAAACATTCTGATATAGGCACAAACACAACAGGACTGGTCTTCGTATAATCAAAATTCAAATTCTCCTTTATCTGAATTGGCTCCTCCACTAAATACTTCATCACAAACCCACTTACCACAAATGCCATCACCAGCAAACCAACCACAACAGCACACACATAAACCGACCACAAGAATCCCCAACCAAAATTTAATGCCAACCTCCAGAATGATTTATGCCCTTTCAACCATTCATATACAAATGGTGAAGCACTTTCACATACTAAGCCCCATATGCTCAACAATTTCCCCATCACATAATCTTTAACACACCTTATGGCCCGAAAAGGGTCAATAACAAATATGTAAGAACAATACAATAACCAAATAGGAAACGTAACGAAACTAATTAACGAATTTATTTGAAACACTATTGCTTTAATCACTAAATTGGCTAAGAAAAATAGAAAATCGGAAGAAGTGTAATCCGTTTCACCCGAACTCAAATCATCCGTAATATACTCCGCATTTTTTTCATTATTCTCGGTCGTAATGGTGGAATTCTCTCTATTTTCTTTGTCTATGCCATTATGGGCTCTTTCTGAGCTAAGTTTAAGCATCGATGAATCCGAATTTCCATTTCTCTTCTCATTTTCTTTCAAATTCTGAGAAAAACTGTACGTACTTTCTCCAGAATGCGTGTCAACGGGAGTATTGATCGAGTTATTAACTTGACTATGCTCAGAATGTACTGCAGAATTAGGGTTTGGACCCTTCGAATCACTACTCTGATTCCTATCCAAATTGTCACCTCCTCGCCCTTTTTCCTTCACATTCTGCGAAAATCTGTACTTCCTCGCTCTAAAATTCACAACATTTCCCAAACTTACCGAAGAAACAGGCTTTGATGAGTCATCCAAATCGTTGCAAAAAATTCCTTCGTTCCGCTGAGAGACAGACCGGCGGCGACGGAGATTCACTGGAAGACGTGTTTCCGGCGAGGATTTAATAATGGATTCGAGTGATGCGTCCACATTCAACTCAGCGGGGGTGTCGACGCAATCGTAGAAGGGGTATTCATCGACGGGATCGAAGAAATGGCGCTCGACGTCGCCGTTTTGGGTGCTGTTTGATTTGGGATCTTCTTCCATAGCTATTGTACTTGGCTTAGGGTTTTGGAATCTGCATTGTGATTTGTGACGAAGAAGATCAGACTCAGAGGTTCAGAAATTGTAGAAATGTACGATGGCGTATGGACTCCACCGAGTCGGTTGGAGAACTCCAGAAGCTATCACGTTTTAGATATGGGAAATACTTTACGCCCAAATAGGAATCCTAAAATGAGCACGGACAGTATGTCGGGTTGAAAAAATTATCTGAATCCACTGATTTAAATGTAGGGTTGTTAATTGAGTCGAGATTTGTGAGTTCAAGTCGAATTTGTTAAACTCATTTTTTTAAGCAAGTTTAAAATTTATTAAAGCTCGACTCGTTTAAATGAGTTTCACCTTAGCCAAACTAAAGAGATCTACGTATAAATGAGTTGAATTTTGTAAGTGTAAGAGACAAAAAATTGAGAGTACCTCCTATAAGAATTGAAAGATTTATTTGCTTCTAAACTCGATCTCTCAATCTTCCCTCACCTACAAAACGAACAAATTATCCAAGATCGAAGTGTTTCGATCGAAAACACTTCAATGCTTAAGTTAGCAATGGAACTGAGATAATTGCAAGAAGACAAGAAGAGTTTAACGTACCTTTTACCTTAGATCCTTTTAGTTTTTATAGACCTTGTTCAGTTAGGGTTTTCATGATTTTCGATTCAAGGTGATACACTTTCCTTCAATTAGGCAATTTTAGTTGGGAAGTTGTTGATTTTTCTCCTGCCAAAACCTATAATTTTGTTGATTTGTTTAACAAGAATGCCTGAATTACAGGCATCTTTTTAACACCACGTTCACTGTTTAAACAACTCGATCATAACAGTTCGATCGTGACGAGCACCGAGCTCATTCCTTCCTTTCTGAGCTTTTCTGATCAGCTCGATTACTATTTGATGACAGCTAGGTCAGATCTTATCTTCTGCTCAGCTGGGACAACCTAGTTGTCTGTTTGGTCGAGTTTTATCCTCTACTAGGTTAGTCCAATATCAACTCGGTCGGGATAGCCTAGCTATCTACTCTACTCGGCTGGACTAACTTTAGCTCAGCCCGAATAGCCTAGCTACTTACTCTGCTCGGCCCAGTAGCCTAACTACTTACTCTGCTCAACCCGGATAGCCTAGCTATCTGCTCGATCGAGTTTTATCCTTTGCTAGGTCGGACCAATTTTAGCTCGATCATAATAGAGTCATTGCAAATAACTTTTTTCAGCACATGCAACCTACCACGTGTCCAAGTCTAATTGTTAGGTGATGATCAGAATTTATCGACCTCTTTATTTGCCCCTAGAGAATATTTTTCATGTGGCACACTGGGAGATATTCTCTGTTTACAATCCTATCTCTCATTAATTGCCTTGTATTGTTCCTCATAAAAGACCTTTTTTACGTCCCCTTCCCCTAGCCAAGAGGACCTGCCTTGTTGAAGGGTTCGAGCATCAGTTCTTAGTCACTTATTGTGACCCTTGCACTAATCCGTCGATCTAATCGGTCTTCAAACTTTACTCGCTTGGCTTACACCGTCGTGCCTAGCCGTGGGCCTAAGTTTGATTGGATGGTTGCACTTGAGCTAGGTCCTTGCCTCTGTCAGCATTTTTTCCTCCCTGCCTTAGCAGTAGGTTATCTTATGCCCGAGCCTTCTCGGGTCTTTCATGTGGCAGGTACTCCACAAAAGGATTAGCTTTGAAGCTCAATCCTATTTGTTCACTGGAGGTACTCTATGGTGATGTTGCGACATATCTCGTAAGACAAGTACTCCACAAAGATTAGCTCTCAGATTCAATCTTATTTACTCGCGGGAGGTACTCCGCCGTTAGGTATCTTTCCTATGGTAGGTACTCCTCAAAAATATTAGTTTTGAAGCTCAATCTTATCAATTCATGGGAGGTACTCCGCTGTTAGATGTCTTTCACATGGTAGGTACTCCACAAAGATTAGCTCTAAAGCTCAATCTTATTCATTCACGGGAGGTACTCCGCTGTTAGATGTCTTTCATGTGGTAGGTACTCCACAAAGATTAGCTCTAAAGCTCAATCTTATTCATTCGTGGGAGGTACTCCATTGAATTGATATGGCATCAATTATCCCAACTCAAGAGCTCAAGCATATCATTTATAGGATGTTGATTCTTATTTTGGCTTGTATCAGTTGTTTAGTCCAAATAGAGGGGTTGAGCATGGTACGACCCAACCCTTAATTTTTCCATACTTAAGGATCTCGCCCCATGTCAACTAGCTTTTGTGGTAGAAAATAATTCAAGTAGCTATAAGTGTGTGTGTAACATGAAGCCTCACAAAAATTTCTTCAATATCAACGATGGAATCATGATTGCTCGAGCTTCGTGTCGCTATTTGTCTTTGATCTTTCGACCTCCTTCGTCATCGCGATAAGTAGATAGCTTTAATAGATCTATTATGAGATTCCGACCCACGATCCATGTGTGATGTAAGCTCAAATAGAAAATCAAACCAAAGCTTTCTAAAAATTCTTCATAGTTCATAATTCGATGGGCTAAGAGAAGACCCTTTGGACTCTTGAAGCCACAAGAGAGTTTATTTGGAAATGTTGAACCATCATAACAATTTATCTCCACAGATTTGTAACTTGAGTAATATTCCACTCAGGAGAAGCTTGATCTTAAGCCAATGTTCATATCGGGCATAGTGGCACACTACATCGACAATGGATGCTGCTTACTTCCAACGAGATCATGTGTAGTAAAATTCTTGAGTCTCACCAATGTCCATAGAGAGTTAATTTCTACTCATGTAGATCCTTCATATTAGGAATTGAGTGGTACACTCTAATTTGCCTCGAATTCATAAATTTAATTCTTATTGGTTGACACTTCAAGTTGAATATCAAGCAATTGACCCTCTTGAATTTCTTTCAGTATCAAATAATTGATCCTCTTGGGTCTCTGTCATATCGATTTTTATATCTTCTTGTATCTCTTTCTCATTGGCCAACTCCATCGTAAAAGTTGGATCATCTCAAAGACTCCGTGTCATTATTTATAGCATAAATAATAGAGTTATCTCCGAAACATAATATTGCAAAATGGAAAAAAATCAAATATAATGACAATCAAATTATCTTCGAAAAAATTCATCTTTTTCTCTTAGATCTCTTAGTCATCAAAGCATGCCAGATTATGGGTGTCACACATTCATCACACACATGTACATTCCTCAGATTACGAGCATGTCAAATATGCAAAGCCAAGTCAAAGGATTCTCATACCATGGGGCAGATGCGTAGGGCTTATATGAAGAGATCCAACTTCCTTTTATCTCCATAGATGTCTAATACACAATATATTTTGATCGTAATCATCTTTGCGGTATTGATTCTAACGAGGGAGCCATACTCCATTGATTTCTTATGTAGTCTGTGAGTACTTGGTTCAATACCAAAACCACCAATTTAGTAGAGAGTTAGTCTCTATTTATGTATGTTTTGTCTACTAGGAATCAAGGAATCAAGTGGCACACTTGGATCCCTCTTTATAGTCATCTTATATAATTCTCATTGATTGTCCTCTTCGGTTGAATATCAATTAAGTAATTGACCCTCTTAGGTCTCTTTCTCGTAGGCCGACTCTATTAGTCAAGTATTTCCTCGTGTTTGGATCAAGATTGGTCACAAACCATTGTAAAAATTAAATCATCTAAAAGGCACCAAGTTTCATAATTTATCTCCCATGTGCGAGATTAATGTTGAACATGTGTTGGATCCATAAAAAGATTGAGTATCAAGTGTGATACAGGCAAAGGCAATAGATAAGTTCTACCATGCGAAATAAACCAGAGTGTATATATTGATATAAGCCATAAAAATTAATTTTGTCATCTGATGTTGAACTTCATCACCTGTGTACTGGGAATCAAGTGGTACACTTTGATTTCCCTTGGAGTCATCACATTTAATTCTAATTAGTTGACCCTGCGTCGGTTGACCCTCTTAGGTCTTTTTACGGTATCAAACAATTGACCTTCTTGGGTTTCTTTATTATATGGTCAAGATGATTCAATTATGTTAAAGACATTATATATCATATTTTCGGCCAATCACATATTAACTAGTCTCATATTATAGGTAAAACTAACCTTTAAAGTATTCTTTGGCATCCAGACATACCAGAAAGTCCCAGACTTGCCTCTTTGTGTTGGTCACATGGACCTCAAATAAAGGGCAACAGACTTTGTTCTAAAAACAAATTCCATGGAGGAGAAATACCATAACCAGCAGATTATGCTTCTGGAAGATGAATAATTCTTATTGCTTCATGAGATGACATCCATCCCGCAAGACATAAATACGAAAAACCATGATGAATGTTCCAGATGCACGTTCTCCTCGCTCTTGTACGCTATTCTTTGCTCGGTCGGACTAAGTTTAGGTCAGCCAGGATAGCCTAACTATTTGCTCGGTCAAACCAACTCTAGCTCGGCCCGAATAGCCTAGCTACTTGCTCTACTCAGTTGGACTAACTTTAGCTCGGCTTAAATAGCCTAACTATTTGCTCGGTTGAGTTTTATCCTTTGTTAGATCGGACCAATTTTAGCTCGGCCGAGATAGCCTTGCTATCTACTCAGTCGTAGTATAGTCCTTTCAAATAACTATTTTCAACACACGCAACCTTTGTGCTGGTTGCATGGGGCCCAAATAAAGGGCAACTGACTTTGTTCTAAAAACAAATTCTATGGAAGGGAAATACCACAACCAGCAGTTTGTGCTTCTAGAAGATGAATAATTCTGCTTCATGATACAACATCCATCATGCAAGACAAAAATACTGAAAACCTTGATGAACGTTCTAGATGCACGTTTAGTCGTTCATACAGACCCATGATTAACTCTCGTACGCAATGCTCACGATCTCGATTGTTGCACATACAAATTTGTCGACAATGCTTGTCATATTATAGGGCAAGATTGATCAAATAATTATATATTTACAATTCACGGAAACTTGATCATCGTTTCCCATAGATGGCGCCAAATGTAAGAGGCAAAAAATTGAGAGTACCTTCTACAGGAATTGAAAAATTGATGTGCTTCTGAACTTGATCTCTCAGTCTTCCTTCACCTACAAAACGAGAGAAGTTGCTAATATTTCTCCAGCAATTCCTCATGCCAAGCCTATAATTTTGTTGATTTGTTTAACAAGAATGC